CCCACCCATCCATCATCCATCCATCCATCCATCCATCTACCCACCCACCCTCCACCTTTGACCCAGGCTTGAGGTGGGATTGGAAAGCAGAGTGAGGAATGGCATCATGTAGGCTGAGGAGGCAGGAAAGAGGCGGGGGCCAGGGCAACCAGTCGGAGCCTTCACTCCAGGACGTGCTGGGAGGCCCACCTGGAAGGAGGTTGGCCTCGTACAGAGGACTACACGCCAGGGAGGAGCTTCACTGTCGTCACTGAAGGAGCTGGGCAGGAGTGACGGATGCCATGGGAGGGGGAGGAAAACCCCAAAGGCAGTGAGGACAAGTGGAATATTCCAGAAACAATGGTGGAAGATGTAGTGAAGGGGTACTGGTGGTGAGAATGGGGAGACAGGATGGCTGTGGGAGATGGTTTGAGGAAAGAACAAGAGCTGGGTGTGGACTGGATTTGAGGGTGAGGAAGGTGGAGTGTTGAAGTTGATTCTCATGTTCTCATGAAACCACAGTGATGCCCTTGACCAACTCTAGGAACCTGTTTTTGGTGAGAAGGTCATGAGTTTGGTTTCAAATCAGTTGACCAAGACACTAAGCCATGGTTAGATTAGAGCAATCCCCACAGGCATCTCATGAGAAGGGCAAGGTCAGGGCTCAGCTCTGATGGCAGCACTGTCCTATCCTGATTCGATCCCCCTTTTCTTCTTCTTCCCTTGTAAAAGTAACGGAAGCTTAAAGTTGCATGACTTTAAAATAGCAGAAAGCATACTAACACAATCATCTGCCCCACCATCCTCAGCTCCGGGGCCTGGACCTTCCTAGAGCTGGGCTCTGAGCTAGGGCAGCAGGTCCTTGGGCTCGTCTGGCGTGAGTGTCATCAGCTTGCCCACGCAGAGCAGGATAAGGGTGAGGAACCAGAGGCTCCAGCCCACAGCAGCCGCGATCCAGCCGTACTCGTCCACGCCCACGTGGCAACACTGGACAGCGAGCGGGCAGAAGTCGACATCTGAGGGAGAGAGACGGGGTGCGTGACACCAGCCCCCAGTGCCTTTAATACCGACAATATCAACAGCAATGATAACCCGGGTGTTAACATTCACTAAAAAACAAAAACCTGTTGCCATCAATTGTGACTCATGGTGACCCCAGGTGCTTCCGAGTAGAACTGCACTCTATGAGGTTTCCTTTGGCTGTGACCTTACGGAAGCAGATCAACAGGCCTTTCTCTGGCAGTGCTGCTGGGTGGATCTGAACCGCCAACCTTTCGGTTAGTAGCCAAGAGCAACCACCCAGGGATCTTTTAGGTTATGCAAACGGTTAAGCGCTAGGCTGCTAACTGAAAAGTTGGCAGTTTGAGTTCACCCAGAGATGCCTTGGAAGAAAGGCCTGGTAATCTATTTCCAAAAAGTCAGCCATTGAAAACCCTGTGGAGCACAGTTCTGCTTTGGCACACATTGGGAAGAGGGGTTGCTTTATGCAGTACTGAGCTCCCTGCAACTGGAAGCATTCAAGTAGAGGATGAACAAAAAAAAAAAAAAAAAAGAAACTGGTTGCTGCTGAGTTGATTCCAACTCATAACGACCCTATAGGCTCCTGTATTGGGTGGAAGTTGGACTAGCTGATTTTTATGGTCTCTTCACTCCAAATTTCTGCAAGCATTCTAACCCTGAGCGTCCTCAGGGCTGACCCGAGGATGGGTCATTAAAGTCACCTGTGCCAAACATTATGAACTAGATCAGGAGAGGCCAAGGTAGCTCCTTAGATGCTTTCTGTAAACACCTCTGGGGGCCCATGAACAAAGCACACCAGTGTGGGGACAGGCCAGGCAGGCACTCAGCTGCGACGCCAATCACCTGACAAAGCCAGGAGACCTAACGCCCCTCCCCGTCCGGGCCAGCTCTGGGGTTGGCCAGTGGGCAGGAGATGCTTACTGGGACACTGCTCCAGGGTCCCGGGGTCTGGGTGGTGGTCGGCCAAGGCTGAGGAGTTGTTCCTGCTTGCTTCTGGAAGAAAAGCAGGAGAAGTAGTGGAGTTCTGTCAGGCAGAAGGAAATGCCATTCCCAGCTGAGAGTCTGACATCTTTTTCGTAAATCAGTAGTATTATGAAGATGAACATTATAGCAAGTTCTACTATAGGTATAGGCGTCTCTGGGTGGTGCAAATCGAAAGGTTGGACGTTTGAGTCGACCTGCAGGCTCCTCAGAAGAAAGGCCTGGCAATCTACTTTTAAAAAATCAGCCATTGAAAACCCTGTGGAGCACAGCTGTACTCCGACACACATGGGGTCACCATGAGTCAGAGTCGGCTCGATGACAACTGGTTTTGTAATTAGAGGTATTCCAAAAACAAAAACAAAAACAAACCAAGCCTGTTGCCATTGAGTCATTCCGACTTCTAGCGAGCCTCCAGGACAGAGTGGAACTGCCCTGTAGGGTTTCCAAGGATAGGCTGGTGGATTTGAACTACTGACCTTTTGGTTAGCAGCTGAGCTCTTAACTACTGTGCCGCTAGGGCTCCAATTATAGGTCTGTGGAGGCTTTATTCCACAAAGCCAATGCTCCTATTTTTATTCAGAGCCACTTTCTCACTGCCCTTCAGGGATCGAGGGACTGCCATGTGGCTTCCCAAATATTCCATTTTAGCTGCTTTTCATGCGCCCAGAAGCGGCTTTTCCAGTATATATTAAAACGACCACTTAACAATCCGAATGTCTTTTCATAAGTACCTCCAATTCCCTCCAGACACTTGAACAAACAAACACTGAAATCCGACCTTGATTGTTTCAACTATGATGTTACCCAGGCAAATGATTATGAAAAAAAAATTAAATCCCATACAAGCAAGTCTGCAGAGTGTGGGAACACCCAGCACTTAGAATTGCCCCTGGGTTCACAAGCAAGGAGCTCGGAGATGAAAAGAAAGTGAACAGGAATTCTTCAAGTTCTGTCAGAGTTTGGGGGTGGGGTTATGGAGACAAACGTAAGGTCTTCGAGGAAGAAAAGCCGTTTCTCATGTTCCCTCCCATAAGTGAAGATAAGAAGATGGTTAATCTAGGTCTACACTGTCCAAGACAGTAGTCACTGGTCATTTGCAGCTCCTTAAATTTATTAAAATTAAATAAAATTAAGCATTCAATTTCTTGGTCACATTAGCCACACTTTAAGTGCTCATTTGCCACTAAAAAACAAAACCCAAGCCCGTTGCGGTCGAGTTGATTCTGACTCATAGCGACCCTGTAGGACAGAGCAGAACTGCCCCATAGGGTTTCTGAGGAGCGCCTGGTGGGTTCAAACTGCTGACCTTTTGGTCAGCAGCTGTAGCTCTTAACCACTACGCCACCAGGGTTTCTACTAGTGGCTACCATATTGGACAGCGCAGACATGGGGCATTCCTATTATCAAAGAAATTCCTGTTACACAGCGTGGATCTCAGTAGTGGAGTCCTGGGTGGTGCAGTTAACAGGCTCTGCTGCTCACCGAAAGGTTGGTAGTTCAAGTCCACCCAGAGGCACCTTGGAAGAAAGACCTGGGGATCTACTTCAGAAAAACCAGCCATTGAAAACCCTGTGGAGCACAGTTCTCCTCTGACACACTCGGGGTCGCCACGGGTTGGAATCAGTTCAACAGCAGCTGCTTTTTAATCTAAGTAGACTAAAATCAAGAAATTAATTTTGGAGAATTTTTCTGGAAATCTCCTTCTTTGGGAATACAAAACACAACACAGCAAAACCAAGCCAGAGAAATGGTTTGAAAACTCTTAAGGCAGCACTGAAGGTCAACACGTCCTTTAAGTCCCTCGTCACATAGTAGGATGCGCTAGGGAGAAATGTCTTGCTTAGCCAAATTCATGGAATGGCTGTTCAGACTAATTTTATGCCCCACAATCCCTGCACCACTCCAATGTCCTGTAACTACCGTGATACAATCTGACTGCTAACTGTAAATTATTTACAGCTAAGTGGCTTAGTGCTTGGTATTTATTTGCTTTGGTGAAATTGAGTCCTCTGCATTTGAGTTTTCCTTGTAACCCAGGTAACTTCCTTAACCCTGACTTTCATTTCACATCTTGGAAGTGGTTCTAACCAGAGCAAGTGAGTGGAAAAAAACCTGGTTAACTGGATGTCAGTATTGGGTTAAACCCTGGTGGTGCGGTAGTTAAGAGCTATGGCTGCTAACCAAAGGTCAGCAGTTCAAATCCACCAGCAGCTCCTTGGAAACCCTGTGGGGCAGTTCTACTCTGTCTTACAGGGTTGAGAGTTAGAATCGACTCGACGGCAATAGGTTTGGTTTTTGGTACTGGGTTGAAGGAGCCCTGGCGGTGCAAAGGTTAAGCACTCAGCTGTTAGTTAACCTGAAGGCTGGTGGTTCCAACTCACCCAGAGGCTCTACAGAAGAAAGTCCTGGTGATCTGCTTTCATAAAGGTTACAACCAAAACAACCTGATGGGCAGTTCTCCTCTGTCACACACAGGGTTGCTATGAGTCGAAGATCGACTTGACAGCACCTAACAACAACGACGTTGGGTTAAACCCATACGGATTGCCATCTTCATAGGTCAAAAACCTTACAATGTCAGCAGTTGTATATGGTTCAAACTGAATAGCCCAGCTGCAAATTCCTAAGAATTTAAACATCAGCCTCCTCCCTCAGTTCACTTCCCGGCCAGTGCACCTCGTCAACAGCCACCACCCGTCTGTCAGCGGAGGCTTGCGTGTGGCTATGATGATGAACAGCTTTCAGCAGAGCTTCCAGATTAAAATGGACTAGGAAGAAAGGCCTGGCGATCTACTTGCAAGAATCAGCCAGTGAAAACCCTGTGGATGACAGCGGTCCCATCCGAAACTTATCGTGGGGATGGTGGGATGGTGCAGGACCGGGTGGCCTTCCATTCTGTTGTTCCTGGGCTTGCCATGAGCTGGGGGCTGATCTGACGCAGCTAACAACACCTCCTCCCTCATCAGCAGAGCCAGCCAGAGACTGACCCGGCTTGAGGTTCCTTCAAAGGAGAGGCTGCTAGGAAGACCCAACAAGTCAGTGCAGTTAAAGCTGTCAAATTTCCGAGCCCCTCATCAAAGCAAGGCACTGTGAAGGTTGTTGTTGCTGTAAGGTACCATCGAGCTGGTTCCGACTCACAGCGACTCGACGTACAACAGAGCGGAACGCTGCCCGGTCCTGCGCCATCCTCACAGCCTCTGCAACGTGTGAGGGTAGGCAGAAAGCAACAAAGCACTCTTATTTGGGGAAGAGTGTTGTTAGAAAACAAAATGAACAAGCTCACCATAGTTGTTAACATTCAAGTGTTGACCATGTGCTATTTTAAGTTTTTTATAGGCAGTCATCTCTCATTTCATCTTTACAATAACCCTGTAATTAAGCACTTTGATTATCCCTACCCTATAGATGAGGAGGAGCCCTGGTGGCGCAGTAGCTAAGAGCTTGGCTGCTAACCAAGAAGGTCGGCAGTTCGAATCCACCAGCCGCTCCTTGGAAACCCCATGGGTTTGACTCTGTCCTATAGGGTCACTATGAGTCAGAATCGACTCGACGGCAATGGGTTTTGGATGGGGGGAAAGGAGCCCTGGCGGTGCAGTGGTTAAAGCGCTCGGACACTAACTGGAAGGTCAGCAGTTGGAACCCACCAGCCGCCCCATGGGAGAAAGATGAGACAGTCTGCTGCCATCAAGATGACAGCCTTGGAAACCCTCTGGAGGCAGTTCTGCTCTGCCCTGTAGGGGTGCTGTCAGTTGGAATTGACTCGATAATGCACAACAATAACAACGTAGATGAGGAAAATAGGGCACAGAGAGGTTAAGCAATTTGCCCAAGGTCACACAGCTAGGAGGCTGTGGAAGCCAGAATTGAGTCGAGGTTCAGTGGCTCCCTGTGAGCCCCTGGCCGTGGCTCTGGGCGAGACTGTGAGGACGAGAGGCAGACCCAGGCCTTGGGGCGGGGGTGGTTTGGGAGCAGGAGAGTCTGCCAGGGACTGGGGCAGTGTGCTGAGGCTGAGGAGCAAGATCAAGGCGGAGGCAAAAAGCAGGAGCAGGTGAGGTCTCGATCCGTGTCATGCAGAGCCCAGCCTGGGAGAGAGGCAGGGACAGGACGCAAGCCCTCCGGACTCCAGGAGAAAATGAGCCGATAACCCAACATTATGCTTCCCAGACAAGGAATAGACAGTTTTCCTGGCGTTAAGGTGGGTGAAGGGCGCAGAAGAGATAAAGGGTCAGGGACAGAGGGCCTCGGGGAAGGGAGGAGGAATGGGCCAGGGAGGGCTGTGAACCACAACTGCCCCGGGGAAGGCAGAAGGAGCCAGAAGACACCACAGACCAAAGATGCTTTCAGGCCAATTTCTCCCCCCATGGGGAGATTCACATACTGTTTTCTCCTCTCTCTAGGTCTTCTACTGCTGTCCTAGGTGAGCCCTGAGTATTTGATCTTGGTCTCAGGTAAATGTAAGACACCCCACCCCACCCCATCACCCCGTTTCCTCTTTCCTTTGTGAAGGACCAGCCCTGGCCAAGGAGTCCTGCCCTTCTCCCCTCCCTCCTCCTCTTGCTCCTTTCCTCCCTCCCGCTTCCCAGCGTGGCTTGAAATAAGGCTCACAATTCTACCTGCCGAGCAAGCGGAGTAGAAGGAGACGAAGAGGAGACTGAGGGTCAGGGTGGCGTGGGTCACAGAGGCAAGGTGCTTCCTCCAGGAGAGGGAGGCGGCTGTCTGCACCATCTCTGTGAAGGCGAGCTGAGAGCTGTGCTGTGACCTGTGTGAGCGGGGCGCTGTCGCTGTCCCCGGACGCCCACCCTCCAGGAGTTTGAATACAGCTCTGCTCTCTGTCTCAGGTGAACTTCTGCTTTGTGTTGCGGGAAAAGAGAGGGGGTGGAGCAAAGGCAACTTGGCTGTCACACCTCGCTGTAACCTCTCTACAAGGGAAACTAAATTCTGTTGGCTGGGCAGGGGTGGGGGGTGG